TCTCCGCTTAGCAGGGAGCCCATCGAGGGGCTCGATCCCAGGACCCTGGGATCACAACCTGAACCAAAGGCAGACGCTCAACTGACTGAGCCACCCAGGCACCCCTTGGAACACTTCCATTATCCTGGAAAGAAACCCTGTACCCTTTCATTGTCACCCCCAACACTCCCACACACACACCTCCCATTTTCCTTAGCTTTCGGCATTGCCTATTCTGGGCGTTTCCTATAAATGGAATCCTCTTATATGCAGTCCTTTGTGATTGGCTTCTTTCCTGTGGCAATTAGTTTTCAAGTTTCATCCATGTTGTACCATGTATCGGTGCTTAATTTCTCTTTATTACTGAATAATATTGCACTGATGGGTGGACCACATTTTATGTATGCATTCATCAGTTGATGAACATTTGGGTTCTTTCCACTTTTTGGCTGTTATGAATAATGCCCCTGTGCACATTTGTGGTCTCAGTTTTCATGTAGTTGCAAGTTTTCATTTCCCTTAGGTGGACATCTAGGAGTGGAATTACTGAGTCATGGGGTAACTCTATATTTAACATTTTGAGGAAGTGCCAGATTGTTCTTCATCTTGGCTGCACTTCTTTACATTCCCTCCAGCAGTGTATGAGGGTTCCAGTTTCTCTATATCCTCCGCAGCACTTGTTATTGTCTGTCTTTTCACTTCTAGCCATCTGAGCAGGTGTGAAGTGGTATCTCACTGTAATTTTGATTTGCATTTCCCTAATGACTAATGGTATTGAATATCTTTTTATGTGCTTATTGGCCCTCTGTACATCCTCTTTGGGGAATACCTCTGACTTTTTAAGCCCTGGAGACACCAGAATTGCTCAAACTCTGCAAAGATTTCCAGTTGATTTGTAGGATATAATCCAAACTCCACCAGGCCTTCCCAGCCTGTCACAATCTGACCTCAGTGACTTCTGATCTCTTCACCTTCCACATCCACTCTTGCTCACCCTGCTGCAGCCACACTGGCCTCCTTGGTGCAGGCTCAGGGCCTTTGCACTTGCTATTCCTTCTGCCTGGGACATTCATCTTCCAGTGCTCACCGTAGCTGGCTTTCTAGTCTGCATGAGATTCCTCTTGCTGCTGTAACAAATTGGCACAAATTTAATGACTTAAAAACAGCACACATTTATCATGTTACAGTTCTGGAGGTCAGAAGTCCTGAAATCAAGGTAGTCAGCAGGGTTGCATTCCTTCTGGATACTGCAAGGGAGAGTCCATTTTCTTGCCTAAATTTTTCAGCTTCTAGAGGCTGCCTGCATCCCTTGGCTCACGGCCCCTCCCTTCACCTTCAAAGCCAACCGTGTAGCATCTTCAAATCTCTCTCTGACCTCAGCTTCTGTTATCATACCTTTGAATCTGACACTGCTGCCTCCCTCTTATAAGGACCCTTGTGATTACATAGGCCCACTCAGATAATTCAGGCTCCTCGTATCTCAGGACCCTTAATATAAGCCCATCTGCAATGTCCCTTTTGTCATGTAAGGTCCCATAGTCATAGGTTTTGGGGTTTTTGGGATACTGACATCTTTGGAGGTCCATAGTTTTTCAGGTCTCGGTTCATACTTCCCCTTATTCTAAAGGCCTCCCCTGCCCACCCCACCCCACCCCCCGTTATTGTCTGTACCACCACTGTTTTATTTCTGCTGTTCCACTTAACAGACCTTGATATTGCCTTATTCCTTATTTATTTATGTCTCTCTCTCCCTGGAGAATGTAAGCACTGTGAGCCCAGGGACGTCACCCATCTAGTTCATGCCTGTATTCCCAGAGCCTACAGCACAGCGCCTGGCCAGTGGGCAGACACTCAGCACTTGAATAAATGATGAGCTGAAGGCTGTAGGAGTGGGGAGGGCATGGGGTGTGTGTACTTCTCCCCTCACCGAGAGGGCTTTGAGCCCAGGGCAGCCATGGTCTGTGTTGGGTTGGGGTTCGCTGGGCTGGGGGTCAGCCATGACCCCGTTTAGCTGCTCCTTGCCAAGCCACAGTATTATCCAGCTTTCTCTTTGTCAGAACTGGTGGTCACCATTGTCCTTCCATCTCTAAAGAGTCTCTGCTTCTGTGAGTCATTTCGAAAAGATGGTCCCTTGTGGTACTGGGGCCGTGGGGTGGGAAGATTCTTCTTCAAGTGATTTAGAAAATCACATGGCCACACATATGTATGCTCTTTGGCTCTGACAATTGTTGGCAGATATTGTGGCTGCTTCCCGTTCATTTCCCTATGATCACAGCTGCATCCATTTTTGCCCTTGGGGGAAAACAGGCTCCTTACAGCTTCCTCCACCCAGGTGTCTTCCAAGGGGTGGGGAGGCAGGGGTTCCTTTGTTGTGCTAGGCTTTGTGTATTGTCCTACTTTGTCCCTGTCTGGCTGTGTGATTCTGGGCAAGTGACTGCCTCTCTCTGAGCCTTTCGTGTCCTCATCTATAAAAACGGGGGTGAGTTGCCGAGAGGCTTAGGGGACATGTTGTGTGGATGTTCCTTAGTGTTTTTCTCTTAGCCAGGGAGGAATCCCACTAGTCCTGACAAGGGTCATTTGGCCCTAGGGTGGGTCATTTCAGGAGGCTGTGTCGTGTCTGTTCCATAGGACTTTGAACATGGGCAAGATTTTCTACTCTCAGGGAACTCCTGCAGGATTCAGGGACTCAGACCTGGGGGGATGGTCCCACGTGGTGGCAACCACAGGGGACAGAAGCAGGTTTTCATAGAGCGAAGTTGGTTTAATAATGACAGCTAACACTTATGTGACACTTTCTATGTACGAAGCACTATTCCGAGTACATCTGTATATGTAACTAATCGGATCCTGGCAACAACTTCTGAGGCAGGTGTGGTTGTTATCCTCGTTGGCAGATAAGGAAACTGAGGCACAAGGACAGGTGACAGGCTTACCCAAGTACACAGCAAGTAAGTAGCAGGATAGGATTTGAATCCAGGCCTCAGAATCCAAAATCTGGACCCTGAACCACCATTATACTGTCCTGCTGATAGAAATATGTACTTTTTAAAAAAAGATTTTATTTATTTGTCAGAGAGGGAGAGCACAAGCAGGGGGAGAAGCAGGTTTCCCACTGAGCAGGGAGTCTGACGTGGGGCTCGATCCCCGGACCCCGGGATCATGACCTGAGCCAAAGGCAGATGCTTAACGACTGAGCCACCCAGGCGCCCCATAAGTATGTATTTTTATATCTGTAGAAAAGTGAAAGAATAGAAGCAAAAGTATGACCAGTGTTTGTTTTGGGTTCCTCCAAGTGGGATGATCATGGGGACTTTGATTTTGTCCTGTTAGCCGGATCTTCTGTGATCATCAGGTATTTCTTATGTGTGTTGAGAAAAGAGCTAGGAACTTCGCAGGGTCTGTGGCAATGACTCATTCCCCCCAGGTCTCTATCTTGTCTTTACCCCATTTTGAGGGCCTGGTTAAATGTTGATGGGTTGCTACCTTAAGCTACATCCCTGTCATGGGATCCTGCGAACTGTGAGGCCCCTCAGGGCTGAGTTACTGCTTCTCTCTTGCGGCCTGTAAGGAGAGCTCGTCCCACAACGCTGTGGGTGGAACATCACATCGGGGCTTCTGTTTTGCCCATTACATCACACTGCCTCTGAAGAGTGGTAGGCTTGCCAGCGAACAGCCTGGAGATGGTGCGGGGGAGGTGTTCCTTCCTCCTCTCTCCACTCTTACCTCTCAGCTGCTGGAAGCAGCCCCTGACCCTGTTGACATCACTTCCCGCTGACCAGGAATCTGGCCTGGGGTTTCCAGTGACTAAAGTTGCAACTGAGAATCTTCCATCCCTAACAGGCTTTCTCTCTTCGGGAGGCTGTCTCAATCTTCCCCATTCCTCCAGAGGGACGGGGTTGTGCAATGTGATGGTGCCACTCCCTGGCTCTGAGCTCTTCCAGAGTATCTGTGGCCCTTAGAAGTGAGTCCAAAGGCTATAGCCTGGCCTTTGAGGCCCTTTGTAATGTGGTCCCCTTCCCCACTCCATTCACTTATGTTTGTATTTTTCAAACAGAAATCTCCACGGGCTTCTGGTTTACCCGCCACAGTATCTCTAGAGCTTGTGACGGTCTTGGAGCGCAGAAGTGCTCTATAATATTCTGCTGAATGAGTGAACGAGTGACTTGATGTTCACGTGGATTCCTGCTCCATGATTTCTTGAAATTCTGGATCTGAAGTGTGATTCTTTTATTCCTAGTTAAGAGGGGGAAAAAAGCCCCCTTCGCTTTAGTAAATTCAGCGGAATACATGTGACCATTCAAAATGCCATTTATGGGGCGCCTGGGTGGCTCAGTTGGTTGGGCAACTGCCTTCGGCTCGGGTTATGATCCTGGAGTCCCGGGATCGAGTCCCGCATCGGGCTCCCTGCTCGGCGGGGAGTCTGCTTCTCCCTCTGACCCTCCCCCCTTTCATGTGCTCTCTCTATCTCTCTCAAATAAATAAATAAAATCTTAAAAAAAAAATGCCATTTATGAAGAGCTTGTAACAACTCGGGAAATGCTTATGGTATAATGTTAATAGATGAGAGCAGGCTGCAGAATCTCACAGGCCAGTAACAACTGCATCTAGAATGCTCCTCTGCCGAGGAGAGGGGAGAGTTTGGGAAAGGGAAAGTACCCTAGTGGGATGCTGTGTAACTTGTTTTATTGGTGTTTTCTCCCCTTCATTTTCCAAGTTTTCTTTAGTGAAAAACCATTAATTTTATAACGAAAAATGTGAAGGAGGAATGCTTTATATTTACTACTGCCAGTGGCCCCCCCTGCAAATTTTGTAGTGTTTCAGAGTTGGCAAAGCGCTTTTAGATGCATGGGCTCTCTTGATCCTGTAACAGTTCTGTGAGGATGCTGGGCCATGGGTTCCTTTTCTCTTTCGTTTGTCATTCATTCATTCATTCATTCATTCCCCCTTGCCAGGGCTGGGACCTAGGGGCGGGGAGAATGAGATACCCAGGGCAGAATTTAAGGAGGCACCTACTCTCCAGCTTCTGAGAGTGCAAGATCAGCCCCGAGAGTGAGCACCTCCTTAAATTTTGTCCCCATGAGTGCCTCCTTTGCCTCACCCTGGGCCTGGCCTTGTCCCCACTCTGTGCCAGGTGCTGATCTCTGTTCTGGGGACCTTCCAGTGGACAGAACAGAAAAAACTCCCTGTCTACACGGAGCTTCTATTCTAGGAGGGGAGGCAAGAGAAGTTCCATTACCTCCACACCTACAGTTGAGGAAACTGAGGCTCCCACTGGTGAAGTGCCTTGCCCACAGCGAATAAGCAGCTAAAGGGCAAAACCCCTGACCCTCTGGTCCAGTGGGCTTTCTCCTGTTTTGTGTGGTGGTGAAGTTGATATTTACACTCCAGTGTAGTTGATGTGTCAGTCCCACGGGTATCAAGTGGAGGCAGCCCTACACCTTGGGCTGCCGGTGGACCCAGGCTAGAGGTGGAATTTCAGGTGTGATGGGGGCCGAGAGAGAGGATGCTGCGGACAAAGCCCTCTAGCCTGGGGACCCTCTGGTGACTGCCTTTCTGACGCTAAGCAGAGCCCCTCCCTTGCCTTCCAGCCTCCTACGTGATCACAGACCTGACGCAGCTGCGGAAGATCAAGTCGATGGAGCGGGTGCAGGGCGTGAGCATCACGCGGGAGCTGCTGTGGTGGTGGGGCATGCGGCAGGCCACCGTCCAGCAGCTGGTGGACCTCCTGTGTCGCCTGCAGCTCCACCGCGCAGCCCAGATCGTTCTGAACTGTGAGTAGCCACGAGGCCCCAGGCAGCCGCCCAGGAGCGGGTTTCAGCATGAGCCGCACCGCTGCCGGGAAACTTTGTTTCGTCTCAGAAAAAAAGTGTGAATGAAAGAATTTACCATCCACCTAAGAAATCCGTAATGGTGGTTCCCTGTGGGAGAGGGGTTGCGCGGCCAGGGATCAAGATGTTGGAGAGAGACTTTACTCTGAGTTTTTTTGTACCTTTTAAATTCTGCTTCTCTCTTCCAAAAATAAAGAAAGAAATAATGATTAAAAAAATAGCTCTACATAAAAATCCAAAAAAGTTCTACAGTAAAAATGATTTATTTTTTATTTATTTATGGCTTAGAGGGGGGAGGGGCAGAGGGGAAGAGAGAGAGAGAATCGTAAGCAGGCTAAACACCCAGTGTGGAGTCCAATGTGGGGTTCGATCTTAGGACCCTAAGATCCTGAGCTGAAACCAAGAGTCAGATGCTTAACTGACTGAGCCACCCAGGTGCTTCACTAGCACATTCTTTTCTTTTCTTTTCTTTTTAAATTAATTGATTAATTAATTTTTAAAGATTTTATTTAATTATTTGACAGAGAGAGTGAGAGAGAGAGCACAAGCAGGGGGAGTGGCAGGCAGAGGGAGAGGGAGAAGCAGGCTCCCCACTGAGCAAGGAGCCCAAAGCGGGACTCGATGTCAGGACCCTGGGATCATGACCTGAACCAAAGGCAGATGCTTTTTTTTTTTTTTTTAAAGATTTTATTTATTTATTTGACACAGAGAGACAAAGCGAGAGAGGGAACACAAGCAGGGGGAGTGGGAGAGGGAGAAGCAGGCTTCCCGCCGAGCAGGGAGCCCGATGTGGGGCTCGATCCCAGGACCCTGGGATCATGACTTGAGCCGAAGGCAGACGCTTAATGACTGAGCCACCCAGACGCCCCCAAAGGCAGATGCTTATTTGACTGAGCCACCCAGGCATCCCTAGCACATTCTTTTAACAACTGCATTGTGTTCATTTGGCAGACATGCCATGATTTATTTACTTCACCTACTGGTAGTTGTTTACCTTGCTTCTTAGTTTGCTCCCATACGCAGTGTTGTACCCTTAGACGTATGCACCGTATTTGCACATATGTCAGTTTAGCTGGAGGATGATTTTTTATTTATTTTTATTTTAAATTTTTTAAAAAGATTTTACTTATTTATTTGACAGAGAGAGACAGCAAGAGAGGGAACAACAAGCGGGGGGGGGGGCGGTGGGAGAGGGAGAAGCAGGCTTCCCGCCGAGCAGGGAGCCCGATGCGGGGCTCGATCCCAGGACCCTGGGATCATGACCTGAGCCGAAAGCCGACGCTTAACGACTGAGCCACCCAAGTGCCCCTGGAGGATGATTTTTTTTTAGCATTGGAATGGCTGGGTTGAGAGTCTGTGTATTTTAAGTTTTTATTAATATTGGTGGCATCAATATTACCAAATTATCCTCCTATCCACTATTACAACAACGGTGGGAACATATCTAGCAGGTAATAATTGCTCCCTATCATGAGGAGTGGCTGTAAAGTTGAAGAAGTAGAATTATGTCAAGTGCTTGGTGTTCGGCCAGTGCTCAGCTGAAGGCAGGGCGGATTATGGTTACTCCCGTCTAGGTCCCCCATTCCTCCTCATGTCCCCAAAGAGAGCCCTTCAGTAGGGGGTAACGAGCCAGTCTTTTAATAGGTACTTTCTGAACACCTGCCCAGTGTCTGGTGCCACCTTCGTTTCTAGAATACAGTGATGGGCAAAGAGACAGGTCCTTTGCCCTCATGCAGGACATAGTCTTATGAAGGTATAGTCAATAGACCAGAAAATAAGTAAAAATAATGGGTTGGAGGGACCAGGTAGGAGAGCCTCCTAGAACATGTTAGTCACAGAAGGGCAGTTTAAGGAGAAGTCGGAGCAATGGAAAGAAGACAGCCATGTGAAGAGTTTAGGTAAGAGAGCCCAGGGAGAGCCTGGGGCTTTGACAGAACGAGCATAGAGCTAGTGTGGGAGGTAGAGAGCAGTACATTCTGAGCCCCGGAGACCTGAAGAAGACCCAGTGTGGGCCCTGGTGTTGTTCTGTCTGGGGTTCCTGGGTTGGGCATAATGTGGCTGAATCAATAGACCCAGGTTCAGCACTTTCCTGACTGTACCTCAGGATTCTGGAATCATGGAGGGCTTCCAGGAGGAGGGGTGGTGGGATCTAAAGCAAGGAACTGAGGGATGGGGGGTTAGAGGCCTCCACCCTCAGAGATGTCAGGAGAACAGGGGACATTGGGGTGGCCCTGCAGGTGGGGGGATCTAGAGATGAAACCCAAACCAGGCTTTCGGGGGCACCATAGGGGTAGACCACATTGGGCATAGAAGGCCAGTGAGGCAGCAGGACCCTCTCTCACCCTTAGCCACTTGGCGACTCTCCAGGATTTAGGGCATCCAGGGACACAGTCTCACTAGATGAAGGACAATTCCTCTCATAGCAGGAGTCCCTGTCTGGGGGCAGTTGTGGGGAAGGAAGATCCTGCTCACAGGGCGGGGAGTGATGCACCAGTGTGAGACTCAAGCTGACCCCCGGCCCTCCAGCCCCAGCAGTGTAATCTCTAAGTCAGGAGTGGGCACGTCTCCAGACACGGCCACCCCTAAGCCTCTGCAGCCTCGGCTCGGGTCTGGCCGCCTCCCCAAGCTGACTGTTTTCCTCAGACTAGGGAGGGATGGTCCGCTCAGCCACCAGAGCCCCCATGCCTCTGGGACTTCCTGAGACCCCTCCCTGGCCCGCCAGCCCTTCTGTCCTGAGAGGGTTCCCTTCAGTGCTGTCAGACAGCGTCCCTGCCCTCACGTGCCCCACCCCCAGGTCCTCGTCCTGGTCCGCTGGGGGTGCCCGGGGCAGCTGGGGGTGCTGTGGCTTCACAGGATCGCGGTGAGGCGACACCGCTCAGCCCTCCGCTGTTACATGGGCAGGTCCCGCCCTTTCCCTGGGCTTTAGTCTCCCCGCCGTGGTCCGGCGGAGGCGGGCTGGACGACGTCGGAGCCCCCCGGGACACTCATGGTGCCGTGGCCCCCCGTCATCCCGCAGACCTTGCGGCATTTCAGTTGGCTGGTGTGACTGGCACCTGCCCCTTTAGCCGTGTGCAGACCCTGGCTTGTCTGCACCCCCAGAGCCTGGTGGATGGGGAGAAACGGTTAGCACTGAATGTGCCCTCAGATATTTTTCACATTTTGAGGGAATTAATGATAGACTCCTAATGGGCTGGCAAAGAGGCAGGGAGGGAGGGGGAGGGGCAACGCCACCGGAGCAAGTGCAGTTGGAATCCAGGGGCCCAGGTTTCCAGCTCAGTCCACTCTGGGGAGGGGGCTGGTGGCTCGGGGCCCGCAGCACAGCCTGGTTTTGTCTCTCCCGAGTGGCTGAGATGCTGCAGGGGTGTCCCGAGGCCCGAAAGCAGACAAGCACCAGGGATTGGGAAAGGCCTCTGGTTGGACATAGCAACTTGCCGTTGACGTCAAAACCTGACTGTTGACTAATCTGGAACATATTCTTAACGATTTGAGGTCAACAAACAATATAGTGCCAACTTTAAAGAAACACACTCATGGCAGCATGACACTCGGTTTTAAGCTAACAGTGACTGAGCACTTTCGATGTGCCAGTCTCCTCCCAACAGTTCCGAGGAGCCCCTTCTCCCCCCGAGGAAACGAGAATGGCTAAGTGACCCCCCCTCCCCGCAAGGGCACAAGTCTGGTCACGGGTAGGGATGGAGGGTGCACCCAGGCATGTCTGGATCCAGCACCCTCGTTCTTAGCTTTTCTCACAGAAACCTCTTTGGGCTTCCAGACAACAGCCATAGTTTTTCTGTCAGCATCTCTTCTGTCTAGAATTTGACTCAGATCCCTGCTGTCCTGGTCCAGCTGCCTCCAACCTGTCAGGACTATGCGAGTCTACCTTTGTTCCCCAAACCTCTTCTCTCTTCCCCCTCTAGCCCTGCTGATTAAATTTGTCTGAGGAAGAGAGACTGAGGCTTCTTTCCACATCCACACATCCCCTGGCTATTCTTCTGAGAGCCTGGTTGTGTTCTTACTATAGCTTTGCGTCCTCAGGCAGGACACTTCCCCTTTTTGTATCTTGTTTTTTTCATTAGTTTAAAAAAAGCAGAAAGTGCTATAAATCTCTGCCCCTTTGTGGAGGTGAACACAGAGGGCGTATTCTGTATGTGTGAAGCATTTTAAGTTTCTGTAGTCCAACTAGTCAAAGCCATTTTCCCTTCCCTAATCGTAACATTAGTTAAACCTTATTTTTCATTAACTTGCTCAGCTGCTTCCGGCAGTTTGAGAACCCGACTTCTGCCTACCACTTCTTAAAGAGCTTTAAGAATAGATTTGATAGGGGAGGTGGGTGGGAGGATGCGGTAACTTGGTGACGGGCATTAAGGAGGGCATGTGATGGAATGAGCACTGGGTGTTAAATGCAACTAATGAATCACTAAACTTTACCTCTGAAACTAACAATACACAATATGTTAATAAATTGACTTTATTTATTTATTTATTTAAGATTTTATTTATTTATTTGA